TCATGTTACGGAGCGGTTTATAAGAAGGCTCCGGAGGCCCAGCCTCCGCCTTATTGGGAGCCTTTTGGGGTTTATTCTCTTCCCTTCTAACTTGGTGAGTTGGTTTTATTATTTTACACGCTTAAAAGTTTGATTGTGGGGTATGGGTTTTTTGTTTGTTTGTTTGTTTGTTTGTTTTTGTTTTTTTTAAATATGTGTTGGGGCCTTTTTTTTTAAAGGACGGGGAGCAGGAAAGCACTTAACATTTTAACATTTTGAAGAGGTTAATCCGAAAAATATTCTGACAGTTGGGAGTGCTCGGGGCCACCGGGATGACGCGCTCTCGGGCAGTTGTGGGCAGCTGAGAGTTGAATGTCCGTGACCCTAAGTATAGATGGGTTCTGGGAAATACCTTAAAGGGTGCCCTGGCCTTTGATCGTCCCCAACCCGGTTGAAAGGAGCCAGGCTGTGAGGCGAGTCCGGCGACCGTCTCAGACCCTCTGTGGATTTTCCTCATGAAGTTGCCTGCGCGTCACCAGAGCGAAATGTCAGAGAGGTACCTTCCTTCCCCGGGCTCGCGCGCGCACCCAAGGCGGCCACTGAGACAGCACGAGGGGAAAGTGGGACTCCGGGTCTCCATCCCTGTCACCTCCCGACCCCAGGGCGGTCCTAGAGGGAGACAGATTTCCCTTCGGAGCGTGGGTGGGTCCCACACCTTGACGGTTTGCACTGGCACCCGCTGCCTGCTGGTCCCGCACAACTTACAAGGTTCGCCGGGCTACCAGCGGCAGCAAAGTGTCGTGCAGCTGAGCGGCTCCAGGCGGGGGAAGGATGATTTTACAGAGGAAATAGGTTAATTTCCTTCTGGGGTTGTTTTCAGTCCCTGCACCTCAGCAGACAAGTGATAGAAGTTTGTTAGACGGCGTGTAAAAATGTCATCGAACAAGAGGGGGTAGGGGGAAGATCGTAGGAACTGAGCAAACCATTACAACTCCTTAACCTGGAAGCTGGTCGTTTATACAGCCAGACACTGCCGGCTGCTTCTACGGAAGGAGATATTTTACCTTAGGATTGAGGTTTCAGCCTCCGGTGATCTGTTTTTGCGAACCATACTGATGAGTGTCTAGCTACAAGAAAATGCCTATGCTAAGATCTCCCCATGTACCAAGCACTATTTATGTGGCTCTGGGGGTTGGAGAGAATACAGTCGAAACACCTTTTCTGGTAATTAAGGGAACAGCGGCGGCTAAGATAGAAACTGACAGTATGTAAATAAACAATGCAGTCAAGTGGAAAACTGGTCTCCATGAGTACCACCAGCCCTGAGTTTTCCTTCTGCGGTTTCCAGAAACAGGACTTTTCCTCTGTGGAACTCCAGAGGAAGACACTTAAATTAGGGGCTTGGGTTACAACTCGATGGTCTTGCAAAAAACGGGTGAATTGGTTGTAGCCAGTGATTCATTCAACGTGGCTGAGACAGTTTAGCAGGTTACAGTTGGGATTTTGGTTTTTTTAAATAGAGAATTCAGACGAACTCCCTCCCCCCACCCCAACCCCCAGACTGGTCCAGACAACTGAGGCTAGAGACGGCTTGTCAGAAGCTGTATTCTCCGGGCTACACCTTGAAGGAGCTTCCCAGTGCCTCTGTTCTGCTGACACCAGCAGCCAGCCTTCTAAGCTTGTCTTTTGAACTTCGCCCAGAGCTGGCCCTAGACTAACCTCAGAGGCTGTGTGATAATCCAGTATCTTTATGCCTTTTTGCCAAATCCTTACAACAAATGAATCACCGTGAATGTCCCAGGTAATACGGATCTCCAGGTCTTGTAGGATACTCATTTTTCTAGGGCATGCTTCTTTCTCCCGCTTCAGTAAGACAGCCTCGTCCTATAGCCCAAACTGGCTTGAAACTCCCTGTGTAAGGAAGCCTGGTTTGAACGAATATCCTATCTTGGATAGCCACTTCCTATCTTGGCTTCCTGAGTGCGGCCATCTATAGGTCTACGAGCAAAGAACCTTACTCCAATTTGTTTTATGTTATAGTCTTTCCTTTTTCCTTCTTGAAGGAGACACGAGAGTAACCAAAAGCTACTAGGAAATACTCTAAACTGCCCAGCCTTCCTCCCCCCCCAAAAAAAAGGACATTGGGGGTCTTGGGATAAATCCAGCAGGAGCTCACTCAGAATAACAGAGCTATCTAATGGGAAAATACCCTAGAGACTGACTTCACAGATGCAATTTAGCCATCAGGAGATTTCTGCCAGTCCGGAACCACTGCCCAAGGGTTTCCAGAAGATAAACCGACTAGCCTTATCTGAAGGTGGTAACTCAGACAACTGGGGTCAAAGGCCATTCTTGGAATTGCCTCTTCTTAGGAGACAAGCTCTGGACTCAGAACCTAATTAGGTTCAGAATCTACGTATTGGGAACACTGAACATCAAGAAGTAAAGTGGTGGCCAGAGACCATCTGGTAGCTTAATCAGCCCTGCCATTTAGAGCCCCACAAGGTATTTCCCATCAAATTCAAAACCAAACGGGCAGATAGTTTTCAATATCTGTAATTTGTAGAGGCTTTTGAGTCCCCAAGTTGAAAGGTTAGGCCTCGGTTGCTTTGTGCACACTGTGATGGTTTGTGGAGCCTGATGACCTGCTGGTTAAATGGCAGAAGGAAGAGAAGAGCTGAGCAAGCTGCAGCCAGACACTTCCTCATTTTACCATTCCTTTTCAAAAGGCAAGTGAGCTGTGTGTTGCTCTATGGGTGCCCCAAGACTCACTTTGTTTAGTAAACTTTGAAGGGGACCGGTTTTGTTTATGTTGCTCGTGACTGTTTATTTCCTTTATTTGTTTGGGGGAAGGTTTGCTTTTTGTTGGTTTGTTTTTTTGTTTTTTGTTTTGTTTTTGTTTTGTCTTGTCTTTTTGCTTTTCAAAGTGAAGGAGAAGATAGACAGGACTGTAGCCCAGGCTGGATTTTTTCTTTCTCTCTCTCTCTTTCTTCCTTCCTTCCCTCTTTCCTTCCCTCTTTCCTTCCTTCCTTCCTTCCTTCCTTTTTTTTTTTTTTTTTGTTTTTGTTTTTGTTTTTCGAGACAGGGTTTCTCTGTGTAGTCCTGGCTGTCCTGGAACTCACTCTGTAGACCAGGCTGGCCTCAAACTCAGAAATCCACCTGCCTCTGCCTCCCAAGTGCTGGGATTAAAGGTGTGTGCCACCACTGCCACCCGGCTTTTTTTTTTTTTTTTTTTTTTTGAGACAGAGTCTTGCTGTGTAACGAAAAAAGCTGGCAATCCTCCTGCCTCAGACAGTGCCCAGATTGTTCAGTAAACTTTCAGCAAGCATGTGATACACAAAATGTTGTTGCCCTCTAGGAAGCCCACCTCATGCAATCTTTCCCTCTAGGGGAGGGAAGTTGAATTAGGGTCTTGTGCAGTCCAAACTAGCTCAGACTTGCTTATAGCCGTGGGTGTGACTTTGAATGAATTCCTGACCCCCATGCCTAATACATATGCCATACATATGTATTAGGTAGCACACTACCTTGCCCGAGCTTGTATATGCAATCTTAGGTATAACCTGCCGATATTAGGTATTATCTTCTAGGAAGACTTGTACTGTTATTGTGTCATACTGTGATCGTATCTCAGACCCACCCATGGTAGGATGCTCAGGGCTCATATCAGGAATAAACTTTAGAGTTGTCTTGGGGAGGCAATCTTACCTTTATGATGATCCCAGTAAGAAGGTAGAAAGTTTTATTTCCCTTAAACCTCAATTGGTTGGGCATGACTGGCTTGTGCCTTTAATCCCAGGCAGGAGGATTACTGCAAATTCATATGTACTGAGCCCGGAAGCTATAGCATGACTGTGAGTGAAAGCTGTATTTAGTTGTAGCCAGAACAGAGATGCGCAGACATAAAGCATGACTTTAAAGCATAAACGAACCAACTGATTATCCAAAGTGGGCTCAGAAAATAAATAGAAGCCATAAGTTCGGTGTCTTCTGGGCAGCCATCATAGACCAAATCTAACACCCAGCCACTTCGTACCCGCTCGCTCAAGACCTTTCCAGAGTCAGCACTTGGACTCCTGGCTGAGTTTCCTTGGGCCACCCACTAGGTTCAGCCTGAAATAATATCAGCTGATGAATAGAGTTTAATGCTAAAGTCAAAAAATATCAGCTGTTAAAGCTTGGAGCATGGGTGCCTTAGAGATTCTCCAGTCTCTGCTGTCTGAGGGAATGAGTACCTTTAATCCCAGCCCTTGAGAGGTGGAGGCAGGCGGATGGCTACAAGTTCAGGGCCAGCCTGGTCTATGCCTATATCAAGTTCCAGGGCAGCCAGGTCTACATAGAAAGATCGTGTCTCGCTAAAGAACAACAAAGTTCCCCAGTCCCTTCTAAAGAAAAGTGCCGGCTCAGAGGTGGGAAGTGACTACCTCAAGTCACACAGTTGTGTTGCTGTAAACAGTCCAAGACTTCTAGACATGGTCAAGAGTAGTTTGGGGGTAGGAGGCAGCTCTGCAGGTAAAACCCACCGGGTGAAAGAGAACCAACTCCCACAAGTTGGTTTCTGACCGCCACATGAGTGTCAGTTGCAGCATGAATGCATTCCACTTGCCCTGAGACATATGTGTAAATAAATAAGTTAATATAATTTTTTTTTTGCAGAATGCTTTGTCAGGCGTGTTGGACTCCCTTGCAGCCTAAGCCTCCTGTAATTTTAATTTCATTTGAAGGAAATAGATTGATCCTAGAGCCACCTGGCTTCTTCAAGAGTAGTGTGAGCAGCCATAAGCAGAACTTTGAGGTTGTCTGGACACAGCCTTGGGTGATGGCGGGAGCTTCAGAGCAAACCACAGTTGCAGTTTGGACCCACCCATCCAAATAAAATACACAACTTTAATCAGGACAGAGGCTAAATACTTGGCCTGGTGTGATGGCACACACCTTTAATCCCAGCACTCAGGAGGCAGAGGCAGGAGGATCTCTGAGTAGAAGCCAGCCTGCTCTACAGAGTTCCAGGATAGAACAGCCAGAGCTAGTAAGATCCTGTCTCACAAGAAAAAGGGAGAGAGAGGGAAGGAAGGAAGGAAGGAAGGAAGGAAGGAAGGAAGGAAGGAAGGAAGGAAGCTAGGTGTGAAGTGATATTCAAGACATAAAAGTCAGATTTTTGTGACTTTAGAATCTAATTGAACAAACAGGGCACATTTGTAAAAGTAAACAATTACCCATTAAGGGACTCTTCTCATGTGAAGATGAGGCCACGTTAGTTGAGTTTGTCAGAGGAAGACTGACAGGAATGGAAGACCAGAAGGAGGAGGGCTGTGGTGGCTGCCACAGCAGCTGTAGAAACTGTGTGCAGCTTGGAGAAATGGCACAGTGACAGGCAGGATAGCTGGAGACCACAAGAGCCACCAGGAGCCTTTTTTTGACTGTGGCAGGTGAGTCAAACTTTAGAACCAGAAGGAAAAAGGCTCCACAGATATGTTGGGGTCTGATAATGGAGGAGAAGGTCCATTAGACAGATGCACATGAATGCCAAGGCCTTGACAGCTGTAGGCTCACCACCCCTGGCTTCCCTTCCCACCAGCATCCTTCCCCAGGGAAAGCCATTGTCCCAAAGCCAACACCGAGGAGTACTTTTAAACCACAGCCGGCTGTTGTTTGCTCTCCTCTGCCCCAACTGCCTGTCTTCAGGGTGACTTTGGAAAGACTGAAGGAGAAGGGTTGTGGAGACCTCCCTTGCTGGCAGACTCCCGACTCCGTCATAGATCCAATGCTTTCCGTGTCACTATGCTGAAGGTGCCCAGACTACGTCCTGGACCTCTTCCCGAGCCCTTGCTGCCTTTTCCTTCATTCTCAGGTATGAGCCACAACAGGAAACGACCTTTGCTGCAAAGGGCACAGGCCTCTTAAAGCATCCCATCCCGTTTCACTTGGCCAAATATTTAACAGAATATGAAAGACTGAGGGTATAGCGCCTTCGAATTCCAGGCTATTGTGGGAAATAACAATAGGATGAGATAGGTTAGATATATGTCACCGTTTAAGATTTGTGAACTAGGAGCCAGTGAGGTGTTCACATTCTGCCAAGCTTGTGGACCCACGTTCGATCCTCAGGACTTACATGGTGGAAGGAGAGAACTGACTCTTGAAAGTTGTCCTCTGACCTCCTCACACACGCAGTGACACATGGGCACACAAACATCCACAGAATTATTTTATTTATAATTTATTTATTTCTATTTTTTTTACATATAATGGTATTTTGTCTATATGTCAGATCCCCTCAAACAGGGGTTACAGACAATTGTTACCTGTGATGTGGGTGCTGGCAATTGAACCAAGGTCCTCTAGAATGCTCTTAACCACCGAGCAGTCTCTCCAGCCCCATAGAATTATTTTTGTTTGTTTTGCCTTGCTTTTTGGGACAGGGTTTCTCTGTGTATTCCTGGGGCTGTCCTGGAACTCTCTCTGTAGTCCAGGCTCACCTCAGACTCAGAGATCCTCCTGCGTCTGCCTCCTAAGTGCTGGGATTAAAGGTGTGTGTTACCACCACAGAACTAATTTCTAAATTCATTTTTAAATTAAAAAAAAAAAAAAAACAACTCAGCCGGGTGGTGGTGGCACACGTCTTTAATCTCAGCACTCGGGAGGCAGAGGCAGGCGGATTTCTGAGTTCGAGGCCAGCCTGGTCTACAGAGTGAGTTCCAGGACAACCAGGGCTACACAGAGAAACCCTGTCTCGAAAAACCAAAACAAACAACCACTCACGAGTCTGCTGCATACATACTAACTTTTGGGGGATCGTTGCTGCTGATGTTATTTTTTTAGAACATACATAATATAATCCCAGCCAGTTGGGAAGGTGAGGCAGGAGAATGTCAAGTTTAAGGCCTGCCTGCTGAGAGTCCCTGCCTTAAGGGGTGCAGGCCCTGCCAAGCTCTGTACTGTAAAAGCAAACCAAAGACACATCGTTGCTTTATGCTTTTGTGGTGTGAATGTGGCCACCCAATATCAGGACTATGTAAATACCTGGAAAATTCAGTGGTGTTCAATGATATAATCAATTCTTTGTTGTCTGTTCTTGTTGGTTTATTTTGGGAGAGAGGGTGGTCTTTTTTGGTTTTGGTTTTTGTATTTTTTTTTTTGAGACATGGTCTCCTATGACTCAGACTGGCCTTGAACTTGTTATGTATGTGCCCCCAGCAAGAATCATGCCAACAGGAGGTTTGAAACTATGGATTAACTTATTGTGAGAGGTACCACTGCTATTCGTTGGGCTAAAAATGTCTTTGCTCATTTCGAAAGTCTCTGTAACTGAAGAGGCTATTCGAGTCTTTCCCTTAGCTGTGTTGAGGCTCATCCCCGCTCACCCTGTTGAAGAGAGAGGCATAATGAGATCAGGAGTAACTCCATTAGGTTGACATGCTCAGGCCCTCGCAGGCCTGTGATGTCCCATTTAGCCCATGTTCAGTATTCGTGTTTCACACATTCTGAAATTAATTCACTCCTGGCGACCAACTTGGAGGAACAGAATCTACATTCAGAAAAACTCTTTTTTGTTTGTTTGGTTTTTTAGGTTTGTTTGTTTGTTTTTCGAGACAGAGTTTCTCTGTGTAGCCCTGGCTATCCTGGAACTCACTCTGTAAACCAGGCTGGCCTCGAACTCAGAAATCCGCCTGCCTCTGCCTCCCAAGTGCTGGGATTAAAGGCGTGCGGCACCACTGCCCGGCCATTCAGAAAATATGTTTTCATGGAGAATCACCTTCTGTCCATGAAGATAGCTCTGTGTAGGACACCAAATAGTAATCAGGATGCTGTTTACTGAGGGGGAACGGGAGCTGAAAGGGTTGGGTGGAGATTTGATGCTAAGTGGACAGGAATGGGACATCTCCAGCACTTGTTACATGGAAGGCAATGGACAATTCTCCCTGTGTTGGGATTCTCTTCCTGTAAGCATGCATTCATTTCCTCTCTTCCTTTTTTTTTTTTTTTTGGTATGTTTATTTTGTTTTCAATACGGGGTTTCTTCGTATTGCTCTGGCTATCCTGGAACTTGCTCTGTAGACCAGGCTGGCGTCAAATTCAGAGATGCACTTTCCTCTGCCTCCTGAGTACTGGGGTCAAAGGCATGTGCCGCAGCACCCAGGTCCAGTTCATTTTCTTCACCTAATCTATATTCTTTGACAGCAGCATCAGTGCTTGGTCCAGTGGGCATTCTGCATCCTTCAGAGGGCCTTCAAGTATTCTGCTCAGGCTTTGTGGTTTTGTGTATAGATTTTCTCACTTTTATTTGTGACAGAGAAGTCTCATGTTCAGATTATTTGCGGGTCCCATATATAGTATAAAATAGTGTACAGATATAAAATTGTATAAGGCTATACTAATTCTATGGATTTAAATACCTAATAAGTAGTTCTTGTGAGGTGTGTTTGCTAAAGATGAGAATCAACTGGCTGTGGTGGCATGAGCCTTTAATCCCAGCATTCACATGAGATAGCACCAATAACCAGCAGTGGTCATTCTTGCATACATGGAGTTCAAATTCAAGGCCAGCCTGGGCTACATGAGACACCCCCCCCCCCCGCCACCTCACAAAAGAGACAGAGATGGAAAGAAGACAGGAAAATGATCAAGCCTTATATTACTTGTCTGAATTCTCTTTCTCATGTTTTTATTGCAGATCAAGAATGACCCAGAAGAACTCGAAGCTTTGCTCCAGAGCCAATGTGTATACCCAAGTGCCTGATGGAGGGTGGGGCTGGGCAGTAGCTGTGTCTTTTTTCTTCGTTGAAGTCTTTACCTATGGCATCATTAAGTCATTTGGTGTCTTCTTTAATGACTTAATGGACAGTTTTGATGAATCCAACAGCAGGATCTCATGGATAATATCGATATGTGTGTTTGTATTAACATTTACAGGTGAGTACATGGGTGATAACCATGTGTGTTTGTGTTAACATTTGCATGCCAGTCTATCTGTCAGTACAAGGTTAGCCTGCGCACCTGGTCCTTTCAATCTGCCCGCCTACCTGACAGTTGTCAGTGGATCTGTGATGCATCCTCTCGTATATCCTGTTGGACTGTCTAGCACCAATTAAGGAGTGTGGTTTTTAGCAGGCTGGGGACCAGCAAGAATTAGGAGACAGTGAATAAAACATCATGGTTTCCAGATGTAGTGTCTGCAGTCTAACATTTTAGACACATACTGCCTGCAGTCTGGGAGGTAGTTCAGTGGGAGAATGCTTGCTTGGCATGTGTAAGGCCCCAGGTTCGATTCCTGGTACCACAAGAAGGAAGAAGTGAGATACGTATAGGGTACATGTGCTTGTGGTCTGTAGAGCATTTTGAAGACAGTGGTAAACCCCAGTCCTCCAAGAGCCTAGCCAGTGGTTAAGAAAGAACACCCAAAAGTCCCTAGGTACTAGCTTTGACCGCACATGCGCTAAGAATGGAGCCACACAGAGTCAGCATGGCTCCTGAGCACGGATAACCTGCAAATTCACGAAGCATTTGATTATTTTTAATGATCAAGAATGCTTTGCATGCATCATCTATGTCTGTGCACCACTGGAGGCCAGAAGATGATACAGGATTCCCTGGAGCTGGAGTTATAGATGAGATGGTTTGATTTGCTGAGTAGGTGCTGGGAATTGAACTGGGTCCTGTGGAAGGACAGTCAAGTGCTCTTAATTGCTGAGCCACCTCTCCAGCTCCTCTGTATGTTTTAAAAAGAAACTCATTTAGCATGCTAAGGCTCTGGGCTCATAGAGACATGCTGAAGAAACAGAATAAACACATTTCAGGTGGACACAGGAAAGAGTAAGATGGGTAAGGTGGGTAAGGGTGGATTGTCAATCCTGTATATCAGGGTTCTTCACTTACAGATTCAACCAGCCAGGCTGAAAATGTTCCAGGGCTATTGGCCATTGCTGAGTCTACCGTTGTTAACACATCCAAAAGTCTTCCTTGTGACGTTCATTATTCCACCCTAAGCATAGTGCAGCAACTGTTGGCGTGCTATTGCCTTCATTTAGGGATTGTAAGTGGTCTGGAGATGGTGTAAGTATATAGAGGATGTGTATAGGTTATATACAGCTATTGTGTCAGCATAAGGAACCTGAGCGAGCACCCATGCATTTGGGTTTCCTTATTGGGAGACTGCCCTTAAACTTCCCTGACTCGTGTGTGCCCTGTGTGTGTGTGTGTATATATATATGTATATATATACATATATACATATATATATGTAAACATATATATATGTTTACATTGTGAAAACTAACAGTAACGTGTATATTGATTCAACAGAATCCCGCCCCTTCCCCTCCCCTGCCCTTCTTCCCCTTCTCTCCCCTCTCCTCCCCTCCCGTCTAGTGTGTTCCTCTTTGACCCAACTTTGAGTGGTTGGCTCATCTTAGTGTACTCCAGCCAGTGTTGACTCAAATGTTAAGTAGGAAAGAATTTGCTAGATTTCACTGTCCCCAGGGACAGGGTGGTTAGAAGCCAACCAGACTAAGATTGCTCACTGCTCCAAATCAGTTGTCCCGTGGCTACTGTCTTTTAAGCGAGCGTGCCTGAGAACGCGGCTCCTTTCCGTCCTGTTTTATTTTCCGTAGAGTCCAATGGAACTAGGTAGACTTCGACCACAGACGGGGTTCTTTTAAAAGAAACCAAAGCAGTGAAGATAGAAAATAAAAAGTTACTAGGAAAATGATCTTAAGGAGAGCCAGTGTGCCAGGCGGTGGTGGCGCACGCCTTTAATCCCAGCACTTGGGAGGCAGAGGCAGGTGGATTTCTGAGTTTGAGAGTTTGAGGCCAGCCTGGTGTACAGAGTGAGTTCCAGGACAGCCAGGGCTACACAGAGAAACCCTGTCTCTAAAAACCAAACCAAAAAAAAAAAAAAAAAAGGAGAGCCAGTATATGCTGGAGAGCAAAATAAATGCATATGCAACTCTGTATTGGGCAAAGATAGTTCACCTAAAAATATATTTCATGTACCCACCTCACAGATGCTGGGATCTAAGGTCTTGCTCATGCTGGGCAAGCTCTGGCCCCAGCTCTACCCCAGGGCCTTGCTTTCCTCTTACCATTTGTCATTAACGTACTGGGGAATTGAACCTAGGGTCTGGGTGGCTCAGCCCATGAGCTTCAACCCCAGCCTTCTTTTTAAGTTTTTGCCCAGGGAGGCCTTGAACTTGCGATCCTCCAGCCTCAGCTTCTTTTTTTTTTGAACATGAAATGCTTTTTTATAGCGTGTTTTACAAGGGGAGGGGGTAAGAGGGTCCAGGTGGTGGAAAAGTACAGAATCTTCTTGGCCTGTGCCTTGAAACATGTCATGGTCTATACGGTACACTGCCTTGAATTATGATCTACCTGCTATTCTTCAGAAGATATGGTACCTGCTTGAGTTATGGTCTCCCTGCTATTCTTCAGAAGATATGGTACACTGCTTTGAGTCTATTTGCAGCAGCCTCAGCTTCTTAAGCAGCTCAGATTGCGCCCTTGAGCCACCAGGGCTGGCTCTTTGCAGTTTGAATCTGAACAAACTCTAAAATAACCTCTGGCCCCCAACCGACCAATAGCCATTGCGGGAATCACCCCAGGTTCTTACATCACCCCGTGATGTATAAGTTCAAGTTCACACCGTGTGGGAAGGAATCGCAGTGAAGACCAGCACGGAAACCCAAGGTCAAAGGTCTTCTTCTGTTACTTTCCCTCACAGCTCCCCTCTCCACAGTCCTGAGCAACCGCTTCGGACATCGGCTGGTGGTGATGGCAGGCGGGTTGCTGATCAGCGTGGGAATGGTTGCCGCCTCCTTCTCCCAAAGGGTCTACCACATGTACATCTCCATAGGGGTCGTCTCCGGTCAGTACCTCTCCTTGGCTCAAGGGTTCTGTGCAGGCATGCGCCACTTGAAGAAGGGAGGGATGAAACCGAACCCAGATCGTATTGAGTTCGTTCTCTCTCTCTCTCTCTCTCTCTCTCTCTCTCTCTCTCTCTCTCTCTCTCTTTCTTTAAAGTTAATTATGTCTGAGAAGTGATTTTGAACTGGCTGATTCGGATGGATACGGTCCCCATGTGAAAATACATTCTCAACCATCCAAGAGCTTTTGTTTTGTTAGGGAGAGAAAAAAAAATTTTTTTTTTTTTACTCAGAACTTTTCTTCCTCTCTAGTTTGAAACTTGAATGCATCATTTGTACAACATAAGGTTTAAGGTCTTACGTCAGCATCTCCCAGATCAGGTGGTGAGCACTCTGGGTGCTGTAAGGGTAAAGCGGTGTGCTGGACTTGGTCTTGGGGGTGTCTGAGAAGACACTGACGGTAGACGCTATATATGTGTGCCCAGTTTGCATACTTTAAGTTTTGTATAGAGCTCTGCCCACATCAGAATCCTTAGTCGGACGGACAGGGTGACACATGCCTGTAATCTCAGCACTTGAGGATTAGGCTCAGGCAGGGAGAGCATGAGTGTGAGGCCAACCTAAGTTACATGTCTCAAAAATTAAATAAATAAATAAATAAATAAATAAATAAATGAGAAAGACTTATTTCCACATACAAATATTACATAAAGACTACTTTGGATAATTTATTCTGCTGTGAATTGTATAAATTTGGAGAGTTCTGGAGACGGGTTCTCAGTTCTTATGTCTCCCTACATGACTGTAGCTGCATTTCCTTGTTTATTTACTTGTGGTTGCAGCAATCTCATGTATCCCAGGCTAGCCTCCAAAGGACTATGCAGTAGCCAAAAGTACCCTTGAACTCCTGACCTTCCTGAGTGCTGGGGTTATAGGTATGCCCTACCATACCCAATTTCATGGGCACCCGGGGTCTGAACTCAGGACTTTGTGCACACTAGACATGCACACTACCAACTGAGCTACACCCATGACCCTCCAGCTTGAAGGTGAAATCCATTTTCTTTGCCATTCTTTTTCTGCAGAATGATTGGACTGACTCCCGGACTTCTACAAAAACCCCTGCTCTCTACCCATGCCCTCCGGGCTCCGAGCGTGTCTGGTTCTCACCGGCCCTTTCGGTTTTCACCCACAGGTTTGGGGTACTGCTTTAGTTTCCTCCCAACTGTGACCATTCTGTCGCAGTACTTTGACAAAAGGCGTTCTGTAGTCACCGCGGTCGCTTCTACAGGAGAGTGCTTCGCGGTGTTTGCTTTTGCACCAGGTATGTGAGTGATGGTGGCTCGTTGGCTGGGGACTGGGGAAGCCAGTCTGGTGCTATTGCTGTACTAACTTGGGCCAACAGGGTGGGTGACTTGTAAAGAGGTGTCCCAGGCTCTCTCTCTTTCAGCCCAATTTTAGGATATCCTCCTCCTCCGCTACTGTAAGAATTCACACCATTTTAATCTTAGTTCAAGTTTACATAAACGGATACGTGTTCAGTGGTAAGGCTTTCTTGAGACGTGAAAAAAAAAAAACAATCCCTAAAGCATTTAATAATGTAGGCTCTTCATATTAATATCACTCCCTTTTCAAAAGCGCTATATTCCGTGTCGACGTAAGTTATGCCAGCGAAATCAGCGTTCTAGTGTGCGTGTGAGGAATCTCACAGTAACACTTTTCCCCTGATTTATTTCCCCAACTTAATGTTAATACATGAGATACAAGAAAAGTTAAGTAGTGGGTAGATAGCCTTCCAGACTCATTCCTGCTTTTCTCCTTCTTTCTTCCCGGGTTCCCTGCCCCACCCTCCTCTTTTGCATGCCGGTGAATTCTACCACTGAGCTGCATCCCAGCCCGATGGTCTCTCCTGACAATGCATCGGTGGGTTGCAAGGTTGCATAGAGAAGTGATTAGGAGTTAAGTATTATAATATCTGAGGCTTTCAGGTCGTTCAGATAATAGTGTGTTCAAATACACACTCACACAGACACACAGACACATTCGTATATATACACAGAAGGGGGAGAGAAAGACTCAGAGAAATCATGTTGACTGTTGAATTTAGATGAAGGCTGAGCATATGCCTGCCATTCCCTCTGTTTCTATTTCTTTTTTTTTTTAATTTGTATTCATTTATTTTATGTATGTGAGTACACTGTTGCTGTCTTCAGACACACCAGAAGAGGGCATCAGATCCCATTACAGATGGCTGTGAGCCACCTTGTGGTTGCTGGGAATTGAACTCAGGACCTCTGGAAGAGCAGTCAGGGCTCTTAACCACTGAGCCATCTCTCCATTTCTTAAAAAAAAAAAAAAAAATCTTGACACAAGGAGTCAGTGAACTGTGAGCGCCCTGAGTGTAGAAACCATGAATTATTCAGCTGGCACTGGGCACCATTCCTGGCACTTGGTTCACACTTAAGATGTTACATGGGGAGCTGGACACTTGGATGTGGTTATGAATGCTAACTGCTCCTGCAGAAGACCCATGTTCAATTCCCAACACCCACAAATCCACATGCTGGCTTACAACCAAGTGTATCTCCAGTCCTGAGGGAGTGGATAGTCTCTTATAGACTCTGAGGGCACTGCATACATGTGGTTGCATAGATACACATTCAGACAAACACTCTCATACATATAAAATGAAAATTAATAATATCTCAAAGTAAGAGTTTTTTTTAAGGAGGTGGGGTGTATAGTTTTGCTGTTGTGATGAAGACTCTTGCTCTCTGTGACCATCTCTCACTGAGCTGCCTCTGGTCAGCAGCCTCTGTCCTGGGTTCACAGTGAGAGAGGTGAGCCCCCAGGATGCTAAGGACATACTCAGGTAGAAACTGGAGCACTGTATCCTTTAATGCTAAGATAAGAGAGAAGTGCATGTCTTTTGAGTTAGGGTTCACAATGGAGACCTGCAAGCATCTGTAGAAAGGGTGGACAGTCCTTGGGGCACAGTGAGAAAGCCCAGAGTATCACAGCAGACATGCTTAGGACTTTGGTTGGTGTCCAAAAAAGAGGCAGGCAAATGGAAATGTTACGCTTTAGAACTCAGAAAAGCTGGCAGGCTTCACGTAAAGGTCTTAAGCAACTGCTTCTTATTTGAGTTTTCAGTTACTTTTCATCACAAAGATTGGATGCGTAGGATGCACTGTGATACAGCTCAGAGTTGGGTAAATTATTTTTTATAAGAGGTCAAAAAGCAAAATATATATATATATATATTATTTTCATGGTATCTGAGCCTCCTGGTATCCAGGGTGTCCTGTATGCATGTCCTCTACCACTAATATGTCCTCAGCCCTGGGGATACGTTCAGCTTTGGGAATTACACGTGTGTGTTAGAACTACTCAATTCTGCTGTCTCAGCTCAAGAGCATCCTCAGACTATGTGGGCACACACACGAGGTTCAATTCCGGTCCAGTTTTATTCAGTGGGTCAGATTTGGCTACTGTGAGCTATTGTTTGTTGAGCCTTAATGTGGGTGACAGATAAATCTTCCTTCCTAGGCCTCTGCCTGGAAAAACCCACTGCCCTAAGCTCTTTTTGGAAAGCTGGGCTGACAGTTGTTTCTAGCATTTATAATAATAAGTGTACACATTTTTTTTTATTCATTCATAAAATGCACCAGAAATCAGAATATTCCTGTGGGGATGGGGATGGGGATGGGGAGACGTCTCCACACAGTTCAAGCGTGAGGCCCTGAGTTTGGATCCCCAGCAGCTGTGTAAGAAGCTGGGTGTGGGGCACATGCCTATATTTATTCCCAGTACTAGGGAGACAGAGACAGGCAGATCCCAGGGACCAGCTAGTCTTGTCAATTCCAGATTCAATGAGAAAGTCTGTCTCCAAGGGTAAAGAGGCTTGGGGCTGTAGCTCTATGGTAGAAAAGCCAAATTTAACCCCCATCACCCCATTCAAAAGAAGACAGAACAGTCAAGAAAGACACCCGGCATTGACCTCTGACCTCTGCATGCAAGAACACATTTATTTACCCCCTCCCCATATAGTCTAGCATGTCTGCGTTCGCCCTAACTTTGAGCAGAATTTATTACTGAAATTTCAATCCACATTTCTCCTGGCTATTGCCTGCTGTATCTGGAGTCTGTTTTTTTGACCTTGGATTTTTATTTTTTTTCTTTGCTTCTGTCTCTTTAAGCCATCACGGCTCTGAAGGAGCATATCGGCTGGAGATACAGCCTCCTCTTCGTGGGTCTTCTGCAGCTAAACATCACGGTCTGTGGCGCCTTGCTAAGACCGATTATTATCAAAGGGCCAGGGTCGCCGAAAGCAATCACTCTGGAGCCCCGCAGAGAAGTTCAGTATATGCTTGAAAACGAGAAAACACGGACCTCAATAGACTCCATCGACTCAGGAGTAGAACTAACTACCTCACCGAAAAATGTGCCTAGCGAAGCTAAGACGGAACAGGAAGCCCGGGCCGAGCAACAGCAGACGCTGGTGGCGGGCCCCAAGCACAGCCAGAAGAAAGCTCCGCTGCTGGACTTCTCCGTCTTGAAAGAGAAGAGCTTCATCTGTTACGCGCTGTTCGGCCTCTTCGCCACCCTGGGCTTCTTTGCACCTTCGCTGTACATCATCCCTTTGGGTATCAGTCTAGGCATTGACCCTGACCGAGCCGCATTTTTATTGTCTACCATGGCCATCGCAGAAGTGTTCGGAAGGATCGGGGCAGGGTTCGTCCTCAACAGGGAGCCCATTCGCAAGATCTACATCGAACTCATATGCGTCATTTTACTGACGGTGTCTCTGTTCGCCTTCACTTTCGCTACCGAGTTCTGGGGCCTCATGTTGTGTAGTGTGTTTTTTGGCAGTATGGTTGGGACCATAGGAGGGACCCACATCCCCATGCTGGCCGAGGATGACGTCATCGGGATCGAGAAGATGTCATCTGCGGCTGGAGTCTATGTCTTCATTCAGAGCATTTCGGGGCTTGCCGGACCACCCCTGGCAGGTGATTAAACTGCTTTTTCCTTTGTTGATCAGTGGGTGTGCGTGTGCCACAGTATGCATGCAGAGGTCAGAGGACAGCTTGGAGGGAGTTGGTTTCCTCATTCCACCGTGTGGGTTCCAGGGCTTAAGCTCAGACCGTCGGGCTTGGTGGCACACACCTGTAATGCCAGTACACCAAGCAGAGTGCTGTCAGCAGATCCCTCTGAGTTCAAGGCAAGCCTGGCCTAATGTCCCAACCAAGCCAGAGCTACATAGTGAGACACTCTCAGAAAAATGAATTCCTGTGATTAGAAGTTGTGCTCATTAAAATATTCCTCAAGTAAGAGCAACATATCCCTTCTTTCTGTTTTTAAGCCGGCAGTGGTAGTACACAACTTTAATCCCAGCACACTCGGGAGGCAGAGACAGGTGGTTCTCTGTAAGTTTGAGACCAGCCTGGTCTACAGAGCGAGTTCTAGGACAGCCAGGGCTACACTGAAAAACCGGAATAAATAAGAATACTAGCTTGTTAAGGTATGGGCATCTAATAGTCCTGTCATTTTGATTCTCAATAGGATGGACTTAGCCAGCAAAGAACTAGTCAGTAACTTAAAACTCACTTTTGCCAGGTGCTGAGTATGCTGTGTGCTTCATTGCTTTCTCCAGCCCAGCAGGTTTCTGCCTTTGACTATGTTTCCTTCAGAAAATTAAAATCAAAGAAGGAAGCTAGCTTGGCGTGGTGGTCCGTGCCTATAATCCCAGCACTGGGAGGTGGAGGCTGGAAAATTGCTGTGTGAGGTCAGGTCAGGTTGAGCAACATAGTGAGTTTCAGGGTAGCCTGGGCTACCATGTAAGACCCTGCCTCAAAAATAAAATAAAATAAAATAATAAGATGGTAGGTCAACTTAAGAGATGGAGAAGTTTTTGTGGACTGGATAGGAGCCCAGGTGCGAGGGTGTGTGTGGTGGTGATGTCACTCACGGTGCCGATGCTTTCTTCCAGGCCTGCTGGTTGACCAGAGCAAGATATACAGCAGGGCCTTCTACTCCTGTGCAGCAGGCATGTCACTGGCTGCTGTGTGCCTCGCCCTGGTAAGACCGTGTAAAAAGGGCCTGTGCCAGCATTCTCATTCAGGTGACTACCAGACAGACAGGCATCGTGGGAAGGCATTACAGGACATACCGGAGGACTTTCTGGAAATGGATCTTGGGAAATGTGAGCACAAGGCTCATATGAAAATGGATCCTGTGTGACACATTTTCATGTCGTAGCTTCTATGTCGCCTGGGAATGGAGCCCCTGGGGATACAGGGAGGGGTAGGCGCAAACTGTAGACCCCCACCTTCAAAACTGCATGAAGGCCATGCCTGTGGACAGCAGGGCCAGCAGCTGTCTCCTCCCCTCCAGTCCCTTTTGCTTGTTCTTTAAGCCAAAACCAAAACAACCAAACACTTTCCATACGGGAATCCAGCCTTGTTCTGTAGCAATACAAACCCAAGAGGAAGGACCTGGTTGACATTCCAACACGAAAGCAACGCCAGGAACTGACAAAGTTAAAGCACTCATTCCTATGACAAACTACTATTTTATAAGGTGACACCCAGCCCAAGTCACAGAAATGAATTGGCCATTCCAAAATGACAAAAAAGAAAAAAAAAACCCACAATCTTGAACCATTAAAGACATTGCTGCCGGGCGGTGGTGGCGCACGCCTTTAATCCCAGCACTTGGGAGGCAGAGGCAGGCGGATTTCTGAGTTCGAGAGTTCGAGGCTAGCCTGGTCTACAGAGTGAGTTCCAGGACAGCCAGGGCTACACAGAGAAACCCTGTCTCAAAAAACCAAAAAAAAAAAAAAAAAAAAAAAAAAAAAAAAAAAGACATTGCTAATTTTAAGAAACACAATTATTTCTAAACGATTTGAAAAAAAATGTACTAAAGTTTACATTGATGAATTGTGGTCTCTGGGTTTTCTGAATGCCGCATGAAAAGAAAGCAACGCTTTAAAGCCAAGCATTTGATTAATATGCAAAAATAAATAAACACGTATAACTTGAACTTCATAAACATGAAGATTATTGCTATTTTTCATGGCCAGTCATCTTCACAAGTATTTCAGTAGAAAGGTTAAATTGCTTCCATGTTTCCTATTTTTCGTAATGCAAGAAATAAATGACTGTTGTGTCTTTAATTTAAACCACTATTTATTAATAAGTTATTCTAGGATGATTAAAACAATCAAAACAAAGGGCCATCGAAATGGCTCGGTAGGTAAAGGTGCTTGCCACCAAGTCTGATGACCTGAGTTCAATTCCTAGGACCTCCACACACATGCTATGACACGCATGTGCCCACACACAGATACACACAAAAAAATATTTAAATGTAAGAAAAAAAATCTAATAATCAAAATAAATAAAAGGTGATTGGAGACATACACAACATATTTTTACCTCTGTTCCGTAGCTCTATAAATGCTTCAGAGAGCTTTTCTGGTCTCATAATATCAGTTCTCCACAGCCCGAGTTGTAGCGATCCTTCCAGCATTGTTCAAGGCCACGTTGTGCTATTTAAAGGGGGCGGGGGAATAACAGACGGCAAAGTTCGCCTTACATTATCAGCTAAGAATACTTGAGGATCTTCTTCGATCAGAATTATATTTCATTGAATTGTTGGAACATTTCCAGTGGTTTTGTTGTTGTTGTTGTTGTTGTTATTCAATCTGTAACTGTCGTTGAAAGCATCTCTTCATTTCGTCTGAAATGGGAGAAATGCGGACGTCACCATCACTGAGTTTCAAGTTGCAATTTACATCTTCTGTAGAACTTGATTGCCCTAAGTCGCCATGGGTACCGGGTACCTGGTCACTGCTGTCGGTGAGTTACACTACATGTGTGTACAGTGTTCTGCATTCTAGCAGATCTCTGTAAAGGGGGCAGTGTGAGGGTGAGGGGGGCTGCTTCCTCACCTGTCTCACGGCGTCTCCCAGACAGGGTGACCGATGTTTGCTCAGCCCTTCCTCATCCTTACTGTTAAGGACCACTCAGGGGGAACGTAGAACGAGCCTAGTCTGGTTACAGGTACACACAAGCTTGAATCTTTTCTCTGCACTGAGACGGAGGGGGTGTGGTTCGTCACCACCTGCCACATTTACTACAGCATCTTATCAGCCATAGAAACAGGACAATCTGTAAAACTTTGGGGAGGGTGAGTGACTGGAAGACGACGTGTCTGTCCAGAAAAGCAGACACACCTGAAACGGGATGGATGTAGCCAAGCTCTGTGGGGCTGCCCCCGAGAAATGCTTCAGGCTCGTGGGCAGGTTTGCAGATGTATGTGACTTCAGCACTTTACGAGTTGTTTTGTACTACGAATGTTCGAGACAATTTACTATTTGTAACTGATTTCTGAGGGATCTACTCTTTAAGTTCACTCTGTATACTGCATGAGACAAGAAAATGTATACCCATTTCAGTATGTCAACAATCAGGGGTGCAAATGCTGAGAAGGAAAAAAAGTAATAAACCCCACCACAGGATCACTGATCTGTATGAGTGGCATTCTGGTACTTATGGATTTACAATAAATTTATGGCTTTTTATTTAAAGAGTGATGTGCTTCTGTATTGAAGTGCTTTTTATGGATCTCAGAAACTGAAATTTCTTGGAGCTACCCCAGGACACAATGATTCTCAAGGCATGGGTAATGCAACTATTCTTCTCATCCATAGTCAGGAAACAGAAAAAAAAAATGATCAGAAACTTTTTTTTTTTTTTTTTTTTTTGGAGACAAGGTTTCTCTGTGTAGCCCTGGCTGTCCTGGAACTCACTCTGTAGACCAGGCTGGCCTCGAACTCAGAAATCCGCCTGCCTCTGCCTCCCAAGAGCTGGGATTAAAGGCGTGAGCCACCACTGCTTGGCTCAGAAACTTTTTAAAATACCTTTTTCTTAATTATTTGAGAAAAATAAAGTATTTTTGATCATATTCAGCCCTCACTCCTCTTCCTGACTCTTCCCTCCCACTCCTACTGTATCTTTGGGTTTTCTCTTTTTTAAATTTCTTTTTCCCTTCCCTTCCTTTCTTTTGTTGTTGATGCTGATGACGTTTTATAACTCATGGAGCCCAATCTGTGTAGTTATGGGTGTGAAGCAAGGTGGACAGAGTCCACACACCATTAAAGAACACAGAGCTCCCTTCCACCACCCGTCAGTAGCTCCTCAGCTAAGCCAGGGACTCCCCATCCGTGCTCCAAGGGTGCCCAGCTTGATCCTGTGCAGTCAGCCACAGAGACACAGCCTTTGCTCTGGTCCTCCCTGACCCCTGGGTCTTACAGTCCTCTTCACATCCTCTTCCAAGATGGCTCCTGAGCCTTGGTGGCACATGACATAGTGGCCCTTTTGTCTGAGCACTCCCTTGACACATACTCCCTGAACACTAAAACTACTCATTTATTAATTCAGACAGAGTCTTGCAGACTGGCCACAGACTTTATATCCCTGCCTCCGCAAACACTATCTTCAGCTAACCTTTTTTTTTTTTCTGTTTGTTTGTTTGATTTTGTTCTGCTTTGTTTTTGAGATAGAGTCTTACTACTTTGCTACATAACCCAGACTGAGTCTAACTCTTGGTGATCTTCCTGCCCCAGCTGTCTATATACAGGACAAAATCTTCATTTGGTTTCTCTCTCTCTCTCTCTCTCTCTCTCTCTCTCTCTCTCTCTCTCTCTCTCTGTGTGTGTGTGTGTGTGTGTGTGTGTATGTGTGTATGTTTTCACGGTTGTGCTATATAGGTGTACTTGCCCACAGCAAGATTGCTTAGCTAAGCTTAGCAACCTGAGTTTGATCCCCAGAAGCCACATAATGGAAGAGAGAACTGACTTGTACAAGCAGCCCTCTGATGCCCACACATATCCCATGGCATGTATGTTCTTCCACTGCCGTGCACACAAGTTAAACCAAAATGTATTTTTTAAGATGTAATCACATCCGGCCACTGGGGTGCATGCCTGTAATTCCAGCATCTGAAAGATGGGGGCAGGAGGATGGCTGCTAGTTCAAGGTCAGCCTAGCCAGGGCTACATCTTAAGACCTGCTTTTTAAGAAAGCATTAGAGTTGAAAATGGTGTGATGTTAAAGGCACTTCAAAGGCCACGCCCTTGTTGGGGGGCGAGGCTAGTGAAAGGAGTCGGCTATGGAGAGCAGGCGCTGAAGGGGGCTGTTTGGCTCAGCTATTTTGCCTGGGTGATCGGAAACAGATATGACTACCTAGATTCAGTTACAGAAAGCCCCAAGAACTTTTCAAGTCTCTTGTTTTGTTCTATGTGTTTGTTTGCTTGCTTGTTTTTGAGATGGGGTCTCATATAGCCCAGACTCACTTTAAACTTAATATGTAGCCAAGAATGACCTTAAACTTCTGATCCTTCTGTCTCCACTTCCCAAGTGCTGGGAATACAGGCATGTACCACCCTGCTTGATTTACATGGGGCTGGGGGTTGAGCCCTGGGTTTTGAGCATGTTAGCCGGTCACTGTATCAACTGAAGTGTATGCCTTCTCGGAACGCTAAATCTCTAAGTAAACATCACAGACACCCAATGCCAAGGGCTGGCAAGCCTTTCCTATAAAGGTCTAGATAGTAAACTCTTGAGGCTTTTCTTATCACTGGACTCTGCCAAAACTATTCAGTTGCCATTAGAGGTCTGAAAGCAGGCACAGACTGTAAACTGCACAGCTGCCTTTGACAATATTTTATCATGGATGCAGAGGTCTGAATTTCATAGAAATGACCATATGTGAAATATTTGATTGGGGGAATGGTACAGAATTTTTAGCTCACAAACTATTAAAATAAAATTTGGAGGAGCTGGAGAGATGGCTCAATACCACACTTGCAGAGGACCCAAGTTCAATTCCCAGCACCCAAGAGAGGCAGCTCACAACGGCCAGTAACTACAGCTCTGGAAAATCTGACACCCTCTTCATCCACAAACACACACACATACACACAAATACACATAACTGAAAACAAAATAAACCTAGAAAGAAAGAAAGAGAGAGAGAAAGAAAGAAAGAAAGAAAGAAAGAAAGAAAGAAAGAAAGAAAGAAAGAAGGGAAGGAAGGAAGGAAGGAAAGAAGGAAGGAAGGAAGGAAGGAAGGAAGGAAGGAAGGAAGGAAGGAAG